AGTAAAAAAACAATTATGATTTTCTTCCCATAGAGTCTGTAAATGATCTCAAGCTGAGATTCAGAAAGAAAATAGTCAAAAGCTTTGTGAAGGTTAGGTTAGGGTATTTAATTATGGCAAAGCCTCGAGGGCTATTTGCCTAAGGGGTGGGATGCCTCCCTGGAGGACTTTCTAGGGGAAACTGGCTCGTATACACATTACACATGGGGAAAACCACGAAAACACCCATGCAAAGGTTTGAGAAGAGAAAGAAATGTTCAGCAACAGAAACACCTATCTAAACTAAAAGCTGAGTCACATTTACGAACTATAGGAAATGAAAGAGATGATCGTAATGTGGAAATTAAAGCTGGCAGTCAAAATGTCCAGACACAGCTATCTAAACAAGAAGCTGAATTGCATTTCAGATGCTGCAAAAACAGAAGTTAAGAGAAATTGCAATATATTACGAGCTAAGATAATATTGCCAGAAATAGGTAAGGTAAATTCTGTAAATATATGTTCGAATTAACAAGTAGCTGAGAAAAAACTTGCTCTAGGATTTTTTGCGTAATCGTTTGGGAATTCAGAAGTTTAACTAGAGACAAAACAATGCATGAGTATTGTTTTCGAAAAAAGATGCAGTGTTAATTTATAAGGAATTAGAATTTTATTAACAGTATATGATTAGAACTGTTTGGTTTTTAATAAAAGAATACATGATGATCAGTAGATATATAATGTATATATTATTTGCTTGAGAGATTTTACATTTTTTGTATTTGCAACTCATACATTTAAATGAGAAAATCAGATAAATTTTTAGAATTTAATATTTATTTAATAAAGACTTATATGCATCTATCTATCTGTTTATCTATAGACATTGGTTATTATTAACTGAGGAAAAATCACAAAAATGACGATTATGCAAAAAGTTACATGTAGAATTTAATGAAATTGATCCTCAGTATAGACCACTTAGTAAGATGTAAAATAACATGAAAAGAAATACCGGACAACTATGTTTTAGAAATTAGCATATGTATAAAATGAATAAATCAGATGTGTCAATTTGGTATAGGAAATTTATTTTCAATATGGAGTATGATTTCCCCTAGAAACAATATAACACATACAGTGAATGTGTGATGTCAATTATGCAATCTAGCAGTTCCATAGGAAGTGAGAGCCACTGCTCTTGCTAAGCAGTTGCTAGTGTGGTAAGGGTCTGAAGAGGAGGATGAGAGCAGCAATATGTCTTCCTAAAATCCCTATCACATATGCTATTTGTTGGTGGAACACAGCGACGAAAGAAACATTTTTCAGAATGCCATTTCCATGAAACCTACCTAGCTAGGTTACCATCTTCACTTGGTAGACAGACTTGAAAGCCAAACAGGAACCAGTTATCTTTCAGGTTGGCGAAAGAGATGCCTTTCAAATTCCGTATATATTTTAAAATTATTTTACTATTGTTGGCTGAGTACCTTGGCAAAAAGACATGTGTTTATTATATTAATTTTTGCTTTTAAATCATATATTTTTTAATCAGTTTCTTGTAATGAGCTGTTGTACATATTTTTGTAAATAATTTTACATTGTACATTCAGTGATTTGTCATTATTTCTGGTTTTATTATTGTAAACAGTATTTTTGTATCCATATATTTATTTAATAACTTTTATATACACAATATAATGTCATTTACTGATAAATGTTTTGTGATGAGTCAAAAATATTAATTTAATCCCCAAAATATTAAATATTTCGTAAAGGTTACTTGCTCAGTTTTTCTGTTTAAATTACAAATACAATGGTTGTGTGTAAAAAGGTGAATTTTAATGACTCATGCACAAAGTGCACTTCAATTATTTTTCAACTGTGTATTCCATATCCAGGGTAATGTGCAAAGAACATTACGCTGGATGCTACAGTTGCTGCCAATTAAATGATCGTTATATGAATTAGAACTTCAAATAAACTTTTTGGCAATGTTCATTTTTGTATACATATATATATATATATATATATACACACACATCTAATAAGTCATACACATAGGAGACAGATGCAATGGTTTACAAGTTGTTGATGTATGTTTACAAGTATCAATGTAATGAATAAGATTTATATTATTGAATGTATATACAAATGTTTTTCATCATTCATAATAATAAATTCATTAATTTCCACTTTTTCAATATGTAGCATTTATTATAAAATAATAAAATTAGGAAAATAATAGCATACAAATTTAATGTGTATTCTTATTATTATATAAGCTATGTTTTCCTTTTTTATGCACCTTTTATGTTGTTTACAGTATGTCGCTGATTATGCAATTTCAATTTAAAAGATAAGTCATTAGCAGAAAAATAAAGTTATGCACATACAAACAGATTTAAAAAAATTATTTACCTTAAATTTAATAAAAAATCTATCATATAACAATAACATCTCTTTTCACCCAATCAGCATGAAATACGACAAATTTGATGAACTTTTGGTGATGAATAACTTGTAACAAATCATCAAAAGCACATCACAAAATACTGTCTACTTTGAAATTTCTATGATTCATTTTTAAAATGACTTAGACAGTTATACTACAGCAAACAGTTATATATACGGCCTTTTCTGTATTTCTTCAATTAAATCGGCTTCTATTTCCACCGTTCATGATCTCACAATTGCATCACCATATTAAAAATTACCCATGATCCTTCAGAAGCAGAATTTTCATCTGATTGGTTGATCTCTATGTGAAACACAGTTGCAAGTAAAACAATTTCAGAAAGAATTCAAAAAGTTTCTTGTAGCCAGGACATAACTTCCTCAGCTAGGTGGAACATTTCTCAGAAATCTCCTGTTTAAACCAATGCTACTAAAACCTCGTTTCTCAGAAATGTCCCACCTAGCCGCACACATTGCTAGATATGATAGGAGTTTAAAGCATCCTAAAACATGCTCAACAGGTCTGGTGAACAAGCTGGCCACTCCAAGAGTTGAATTGTTTGCTGCTGAATATAATGATTCATAATGCAAACTCTATGCAGTCTAGTGTTGTCATCCTGTAGTAGAAAATCATCACCTATTGTCATGGCATTAAGGTACACATAAGCATCAAAGATGTCATCTCTATAGGTCTGAACATTCACAGTTCTATGTAAAAAAACATGGAGGTCTGTGTATCCATGCAAAGAGATATCACCCAAATACAGACACTGCCTCCTTCACATGAATCTCTTTCACAGATGTTTGATAGATGACAACGGGTTCCAGGTTCTCTCCAAATCATAGCATACTACTTTCGCTTTGATGGCTAAACCTAGACCTATCCATAAAGCGAACAGCCCTCCATTGATCAGCTGTGTAGTGGACATGCTGACGCGCTCACTTCAAACATTTGCTTCTATGACATGACATGAGTGGCATGCAAATAGCTGGTCGTGTCGCATACAGACCTACTTTGTGAAGCCTTCTACACATGGTTGACATTTGACACCAACCTTCCAGTGGCTGCAGCAAGGGTGGAGCTAAGTTAAGAGTTGAGGTTTTATTCCTTCATGTGCATAATGACAAATATCAATCATGATGCTTGTGCTAGCAATTGGCTGTCCTTGGCTAATTTGTGGTTAGAAATTGTTGCCAAAGTCTATGCACCACAGAAGGACTCATGTTTAACCATCTGGTCACATCTGTCTCACTTTGTCCTGCCCTTAGTCTCCCATAGTTCTCCATCACAGTTCTTCAGGCAGATGATGCCCAGAGGTCATTGTTACAAATTGGTTATTCCAGATTTCTTACCTCAGTATCACAGTGAAATTGGCAGGCTTTCTCTGAAACATGCAATTTTGTGCTCCTCGCAGATGACGTATTTCGATTGGAGTTCCACTAATTTGTATACTGCAGTTTATTCGGCAATTATTATTTGACAAAATATTCAAATTTTATGCAGATTGGCTTATTTTTGAATGAGTTATCACTATTTTTGTGATTTTCCTTAATTTTTGGAAACCAGTGTGTGTGTATTTGTAACTTTCTTAGAGAAATTGCAACTGATTTCATTATTTTTCATTGGTATTTATACAATAGAAATTTTATTTAATAATTTAGTTATTTGATAATGCATAACCTTTGCTTGTAAGAACATTCTGAACTTAATTAATATTACAGCATTTTTCTTTTTTCTCCCCACCATTATGATACTAGGACATAGATTTTGCATCTAATATGATCCAAGTCTCAAACTGATGGTGTACCTTCTGTAATTCTTATCACATTAATATATAAATTAATATTTCCGATTATAATATACATACATTATATTTTTCTAATATTTCTGAAAATTATAGCTATTGTTTTTATTTTTTGTAGTAATTTTATTATTTTATTAGCTTTAATGATTTTGAATAACTTTGCATTATGAGAATTTGACATCTATGTTACATGCTAATTTTCAGAAAGATAATAAATGAATATCATCTATTGAGACAAAAGTGAATGCATTGTTCATCATGTGGTTAAATAATCAGGAATAGTCTAAGAATAAGGTAGAAATCTGAAATAATATAAATATAAAATACTACAAGGATATCTTTTGAAAGTATTTTCTTTCATATAAATTAATAGCTCCTAAAAATATATGCCTAGATAATACTTCAAATGCAAGTCACAATAATTCTAAATCAAACCCTTTTTCTGCAAGCATGTGAAGGGTCCAATTTTATTCTTTAAATACTTTTAAAAACATAACTTCATGTTTGATATAAAACTTTTATCATCTAAAGGATAGTTTTGTACATAAATTGTTAATTGAATATCTTTTCCATTAATCAAATGTAAATCATTCTTGCATGAACGAAACTGGATTCACTGACTTTAAAGACACAGAACCATAAATTAGTAATAAATATTTTATAGTTGAATTAGTAAAGATGGTGACTCATATGTAATATAAAAACAGCATAAATAATATTAGAAACAGATCACTTTAATATTTTTTTCTTAAAATTATTTACAATATCACTGAATGGTGTACTACTATCACTTAGAGTACTAGGTATTCTTAAAATCCTACGAACTTTGGGAGACATTAGGAGAATGCTTTGTCCTAATCCAAATGTGCTGGAGCACAGCCAATAGAAACTGACTGACTGTTAAGAAAATAAATTATTGTTATTATCAGATAGGCAAGAAAATGAAATAATTTTAAAAAAACAATAATTATCATACACAGTTCGCATCTCAGAAGGAAAGACAATTTTAGCTATTATATTTCTTATGAACATACAGTCAACAACAAAAAAAAAAAGTTAATATGCTGTATCTGATAAGGTTAGATCAGTATTAGGAACAAAAGAAAGTTGTCAGTGTTATAAATAAACAACACGTGTTCCCTTCAAGAAAATGCATAGGAAGTTTCTATAAAAACTTAAGTCTTAAACTCAGGGGTTCTCATCTGGTGGTACGCAAGAGAAAAATAGGTGGTACACAAAGAAGCAAAGTATTTTTAACCATTAAATTCAAAAACTAAAACCCCAACATCTTGATTGAGTGTTTTCTCTAACACTTGTAAATTTATGGGATCTGAGCTTTGTTCAAGAGTGGTAGTGATAGTACTGTAAAAGTCCAGAAATCTGCAAAGCTTGGGACCAGAGGTTGTGCGGATTTTAGGATTTTGCGCATTTCGGGACAGAAAAGATAAATCATAATATTCAGGCTAAAAGTGCAAAATAAATAAGGCGTATTAAATACATTTAATTAAATTATTATATACATTATTATAATAATTTATTATATGCTTTAAATTATAATTACATATATAAATTGATTATATTATAATATATATCATCATATATTATATTATTCATTACATTTTATAAATCAGTATGAATTTGCTTCCCTTTTTCTCTCAGGAGCAGTCCTGAAATTGGTACCCCATCACTCGGGCCGCTGCCAGAACCACTCGTACGAGACGGTATCGAGGTTTGCCGGTTTCGCCTCCCGAGATATATATAATGACTTTAACTGGTCTGTTGCGGTTTTGGATTCCGGTGTTGGAATCACTGTTGCTGTAAAATTTTAACAGCTTTTCATTATTTTTCTGTGTATCATACACGGTCCGTGTCGTAATTCTTTACAATTCTGCTATAAACCGACGAGTAGCATCTGCCTTTTACCTTTTGCAGAATTTCCACTTTTTGTATTACCATCAATGCAACGTGTTTACATTTTTCAACGTTGCAAGCAGTACAATCATGAGTGCATTTCTTATCTGTCGTATTAAAAAGTGCTGAAATTTAAAATATTCTTAATTTATCCACAAAATTATCCAGATAAAAAAAAAAAAAAAAAAAAAAAAGCAGCACCAAACAATCTTGTGAAATAACAGCTCAGAAAGTACAACAACATGAATTGTGCACTTGAAAGAAGAGTTAAGTGGATCATCTGCTTTTTTACCTCTATGCAGACTGGAGGGAAGAAAACTTTTATCATGATGTCAATAATTTGGTTATGACTCATTTTATTGGTAATTATGATGTTATTATCCAGTAAGTATTTTTTTCTTTGATATTTCATGCTCCATGTTGCGGTTTCCAAAATCTATAAACTGAATGTTTATATTTTGAGAGGCAACACGGACTTCAGGTCGGCGGATTTTCAGTATTTGACTGTAGTACTTTGTAATGGTGGCACTAAAGGTTTTTCAATTTTTGTTTTGATGGTACGCATTAGTCGAAAGGTTGAGAATGCTGTCTTAACTTGTTAAGACTGAAAACTTTCACAAAATACAGTGGTACACAATGCAAAAAAAAGGGGGGGGAACAGTTCTACATCTCATGTTCTACTGGGCTAAATGATTAAATTCAACTTGCGTTTTTCATGTTTTGAAAGAGCAACTTAGGATATGTATTAGATTTATATATATCATTGTTCTAAGATAGATATTTTGACACAAAAAACCAATTTTTCCTGGTATCACGACAATTTTTTTCCACATTTCGACTCCACGACTCAAATTATGCCAAAAAGCCAAGTTTTGCAAAAACTGCACAAGTAGTTTTTATAAAATTAGCTCTCAAAATTTTAATTCCTCAATGTTAATTGAATTTGATAAATATTTACTAACATCTCTTTTTTTATTAAACTTACTTGATTCCTTCTTCCAGAATTTGAAATTTAGGTTCATTTTAAATATAATTCGCAAATTTTTTATGACTTATTTTAAAAATTTGTATTTTTAAACAATTTTTATAAATTTTTCAAAAAAAGTTTTGAATAATTAGCTACAAAATTTTTACCATCGTCTTAAAGTAGATAAGCATACCTGCAAAAATTTAGTTTTTTTATTCAAAATTTCCTAAGATATACGTGAATTTACATACTGGGGCATTTTGAAATTTGGCATATTTGTTATATAAGCCATAATAACGCCATATGTAGTAAAATTATTTGAAAGCATGAATGATGAGTTTTTTCCCACTTGTGTACGATGAAAAAAAAAAAAAAAAAAAAAAAAAAAAGGGAAAGGAAAATAGGTCGCTAGAAGTTAAGAAGTTCACAAATTGAATTATTCTTGGCGCAACTGCAAAAAACGAGCAAAGATAATTCTTTTTAACTTCACCATAAATTTCTCACCAAAATTACAGAATTTAATATCTAGGCATAATTTGAGTCATAGAATCGAAATATGGGAAAAAAAAAAAAAAAAAAAAAAAAAAAAAAATCAGCATGTCATTTTAGAAAAAGTCCGATTTTGTGTCAGAATACCTATGTTAGAACAATGCTATATATAAATCAAATATATATCCTAAGCTGTGCTTTCGGACATACACCAAATAAACTTTTCCAGCTATTATTATAACACTTTTAATTCTAAAATACAAACACTAGAATAACTGAAATGTATATATATTAATGAGAATTTACCAAATTTATTTATCTCTCTGTGTCTCTTTTCTTCTACCAGGGCCTTTTTGGGCATGGTTGAAGGTCATCAGATCTGACTTTTACTAAAACTCTGACCAAAGAACTTTGCTTCTGTCTTCTCCTAAGGATGATTCAGAAATATGGCACTGTTTGGTCATTCCAAAAATGTTGTTAAGGCTTATCTGAGCTTTGTTGGGATGGTACTACACTACTCTGATACATTTTTTATATCCATTTATTTTGCAAAGTTTTGGCATGAGAGGTTGTCGTCACTTGCTATCATGTTTTTGTGAAAACTGGTTGTAGAATTCTCTTGAAAGAGGTAAACAAGGGTACTGCGTGTAATCGTGAATCATCAGATGAGAGTCATTTTCCAAATAAATGTCATATAACAAAAAAAAAAAAAAAAAAAAAAAAAAAAAAAAAAAATTCATATCCAACAGGATGAACAAGTTAGATTTATTCTAAAGCAGATGCATACTGAGGTGCTACTGTACATCCATCTTACTTTTATGTTTATTGTGACAGATTCCCCTCCACTTTTTAAGTAAAAGAATGTTGCATTGGCTTTATTTTCAATGACATTTGAGTCAAAGAATGCTAAAAAACAACCACACAGCATTTAAATAAATATGAGATAATCTGCCCCTAACTGCAATTTAATTTTTATTTTTGACCAAATAAAAGTATGATATTACATATATAAATTGATTATATTATTCATTTACATTAGGCTTCTCTATTTTTAAATCAGCATGAATCTGCTTCCCTTTTTCTCTGAGAAGCAGTCCTAAAATTTGTACCCCATCACTCTGCCGCTGAGGGAACCACTCGTATGAGACAGCATTGAGGTTTGCCAATTTTGCCTCATGTAAAGATTTCCGGTTTCCGATTCCGGTATTAGAATCACTGTTGCTGTAAAATTTCAACAGCTTTTCTTTATTTTTCCGTATATCAAATACAGTCCATGTCCCAATTCATACAATTCTGCTATAAACCAAGGAATAGCACCTGCCTCCATCTTTTGCAGAATTTCCACTTTTTGCATTACCGTGTTTACATTTTTCAACGTTGTAAGCAGTAAATTCATTATTCATGCATTTCTTATCTGTCAATGTATTAAAAAGCACTGAAATTTAAAATATTCTTAATTCATCCACAAAATATCTGGATTAAAAAAAAAAAGCAGCACTAAACAATCTCGTGAAATAACAAAGCTCAGAAAGAACAACAACGTGAATCATGAACTTGAAAGAAGAGTTGAGTGAATCGTCTGCCTTTTTAGCTCAATGTAGATCGGAGGGGAAAACACTTTTATCATGATGTCAATATTTGGTATTTCCATTATGACTCATTATTATTCAATAATTATGATGTCATTATCTGGTAAGTATTTTTTCTTTGATATTTGATACTCCATGTTGCAGTTTCCGAAACCCATAAACTGAATGTTTATATTTTGAGAGGCAACGTGGATTTCAGGTTGGCAGATTTTTGGTATTTGTAATTACTATAAACATATTCATAAAACTTTTATTCTCAAGCATATCAAAATATTAGCACCAAAATGCATTCTGATGCATTTTGGATCTAAGTTTGTATTTCTAAATTTACTAATCTGCAAGTAAAGTACAAAGTCTGAGATCAGGACTTGTTGCGACTTTGATGATTCCAGATTTGGGATTTTTCTAGATATTAAATCATCAGAAGATGGCCTGTACAAATTATAAAATTAAAAATATGAAATAGTGGCTTATGAAATAATGAAGCATTTATGATCTTAATCGATATTTTCAACAAAAAAGAACATTATTTATTTGTTTTATTAAACATTTCTTATGATGTAAGTTATTTAAACTGCTTCATTTCTTGGTCTAATACTTTCTCTTTAATTCTACAGATAGACATAACTTCTTGTTCAGTTACAAAATTCCACAGTTCAAGTCCTGTAATTGTCAAGTTGAAAATTCCCACTAAATTGTCAATCAAATTTTTTTCATTTTCAACAACCTCTTTTTCACTTTCTTCACAATCAGTTGCAATATTTTCTGGATTCAGAACCATATTACGGATTTCGCAGTCCATTAATTGACTGAGGACTGGGGAAATGTCATTGAAGTAAAAAGCTTCTGGTTTATCATCTTCATTTATTATCACATATTTCTTCACAAATTCCATTAATCAGAATGTTTTACTGATTGTTTGCGATATCTAAAAGACCTCAAATTCATGGCTATCATCATAAAGCTAGCATCTGCTATACACTCTTTGTGATGTATCATGAGTTTGGTGACTAAAGCCATGTTGTCTGTTAAATTTTGTCTTGCTTCTATTACATGTTGACGAAGTTAAACTCAAATTATTTTAGTTTAGTTATTTATTATACTTAATCTATTTTAAGGCTTATACGAGTCTTAAATAAATAAATTCCCACCCCACATATACTTAGGGCTTATCCAGGATTGACACTAGAAATTTTGTGAGAGTGCAGACACTAGAAATCAGCAGGTTCCCATATTCTTCTGTCAAATGCCATATTCCAAATTCTAAAAATTTTGCTTTCCCTAAATCCTATCCTCTGATCCAGCCACATCAGCTCTGGTGCCGATCCTGGGCTTATCTGAATAACAAATAAGTTATTTTAATTTAAACAGCTCTATATATAAAATTAGGCAAAGCAAAAAACCATGCGTTTGGTATACATTTAAATTAAGATTACTGATTTAAGGTAAGAAGGGACAGGTCTCTCTTCAATAGAAGCAAAGAAATCTGCAACAAAGGGTAAGCCACAGATGTATTTATACTGAAAAAAAATAAAGTGAATGAGAAAGCAGTACCATCTGTCCGCAGAAATAGTTACGAAAATTGAAAAATTAAGTTAACAGAATTTTAAAAGCATTACAAAGGACTGGATTGGAATAAAAGTCATTAACTAAACAAGATAAATCTTTCTGAATGTTAAAAGCTTCAAGAAGATTCAATTCACCAACTCCTATAAATGTAATCTTTTGGTCTTCGAGTATCATTTACAAACTCCATTCTTTGTATATCGAAAAAAATTTCTGTTAAATCTCTCCTCATCAACATATCACAATGCAGTTAGCTGAAATCTGTCATTACTGCCAAGTGTAACAACATAAAAGGTTACCATGCTCTTTGTCATTCAATTACTTATATTAATAAAAAAATGCTTAGACACAGCTGTGTGAGTCATTTCTTAAACTGTTGATAGTCATCATTAATAAATGGAAAAAATAACAAATAATGTTTTGCCAGGCTGTCATCCGGTATATAAATTATTCAGTAACTGTAAAATCAATGATGTTTCAACACGGAATATTTCGGTTTGAAATGCATGCTAAGCAAAAAGGCGGCTATGGAGCCAAATTATTGATAATACAGACTTATGCTTGTTTCTTAAATAAGGAGGTATTTTGTTTAATGCCAAAGTGAAATTAAGAATTGGTAGATGTTTTATTATGAAAAAATATCAAATGCAGATGCATAAATGGCACAAAACTATTTCTAAAAAAAAGCTGTTATTGGTCTGAAAATTCAGATTTTAGATCACTCCAGATACTGGATGTTTGAATTTCAGACTTTGTGCTGTATTTGGTTACTAAAGAAACTTACAGATGGATTCGCAGCTGCAGCCACAGCAACAGCCAGTGTGACCACTCTTGATGTATTCAATAAAACTCCTTGCAGAAGACTTCTTTTCCCAATCCGACGTAGTGCATGTATCTGAAATTGTGTTAATGAATAATAAGAATTTAACATGCAAATTTCAAATGTTGCCAATGGCTTATGTAGTGGCTGCTTTAACAAAGAAGTACCTTTAACTCATATATATGAACACTAAAAATAATACAATGAAATAACAGTTCAGTTTATACTAGAAATACCAACTCATCAAAACAAAGAATTCTCCCTATAATAGAAATAATCATCAGTAGTTTTAATGTTAAATTGCTACACAAATAATTTATTCACCTTTTCAGAAATGCAAAAAAACCTTGGGAATATTGAAAATAATCATGACAGATTCAAAATAATGTTGTTAAATGCTGCAATTAATTTCAATATTAATGATGATTATCATCATTACTAAAGACTAATATTATCATTAATCATGCTGATTATCATTATTACTAATGACTAATATTATCATTAAGCATGCTGACTAGACAGTATAAAAACTATGAATATAAAATTAAGTGAAATAAGAATTTCCTCATACCTCTAATAAATTGAATCAAAGCAGTAATATGAATTAAAACAAATTCTTTATACACAATAAAAAATGTAAATGTGTAGATTATATTAACAAACATTTATTACATTGATAAGACATGAATTGTTAAGTTGGTAGAAAAATATAAATATAATAATAAGAGAAATATTTAAAAAAAATTAAGAATGGAATATACTTGTTTAAACTCAAAATGAAATAGTATAATAGTTTTAATAAACAGAATTCACATACTACAAAATTAAATCATTCTTCTCAAAAACTCTGTTTCATCGATGTTTCTAAATTGCATAAACAAGTTTAAAGAATCTAATTTTTTTTTTTAAAAAGTTCTATACTTAAAAATATTTTTAAATATTAAGAAGCTGTAAAAGTATTGGATGTTAACTAAAAATATTTTTGTATCAAAATGCTGATAAAATAAAATACCATATTTACTTGAAAATAAGATTCCCTATTGTTTTGCCATGCTTTAGTTCTAAAATGTGACAGGATATTATAAATGAGTATTTTGATAAGTGAATTTTCAGAATGAGAGGAAGAGGTTTAATTATTGTACTTTACAGAATAGCTATATGACTAAATTCTAAATAAACCACATAAATAATTACTATACATATAAACTACCTAACTACTGCTAATTATAACAGACATAACTACTGCTAATTATAACAGACATAACTAAGAAATTTCAGTTTAGGCCAATGTCTCAAGCCCTGGTCACTGGTATACCTGAAAACAATATATAGCAATATATCACTAACTTTTCCTAAACACTTTTTTTTGTATGTGTGGCATAATAAAATATGTATTTAATTATATAGTTTATCTATTTTTCCTAATCACCTCAGGTTCACTAGAAAATTTGCAGAAACATTATTATAACATTTGTTTGGCATTTTCTGATTTTCCCCACCTGCACAGGAAAGTCAGAAAAAATTATTCATGATGCAAAGCAGTATGAATCAAAACACTCATGTGACAACCCATGATATATCCAAAAATACTTACATAGCAATACAGGTATGCATATAAGCATGTCTGTTTTGGCCACTGAGCAACGTGATCATTGTATGGATGCCAAGTTTGTGCAATTCTTCAATGCATCTTTAAGTAAAAACAGATCACTGCATAAATAAGGAAAACAAAAGTGCAAAAAAGAAGAATTTCTTAAAAAAGGTTAAGTGTTTTATTACTGATGTTTCTTACTCAAGTAATCTGATTGATTGCTCTTGTATGGAACTCTTAGTGCAACACCATTCTGAAAATGGCTGTTGCCTTTCAAACATTAGCTTGGTAAAACAAATTAGTCACCAAAGAATTTCCAAATGCTGTCCAAAGTTGGCAACTTCACAACTCTTCAGTGAGAGTTTGCAGTTTTCTTATTAGTTCAAAATTTAGCTTTGACATCAATATCCTGTTCCACTGTTATTTATATATCAAATATACAGAGCATTGTCATGTAAGGATTTAGAACCCTAATATCCAGAATTTTAATAATGATTTTTTCTAAAAAATTACTCTGATTGAATAACCACCATGATTTACATGAAAACCATATGCTTTTTATTGATGATAATAATGATAAAGATTTAACGATCAAAGTGAGACTAATGTACGTGATTGTATAGAAAAAAAGCAGTGTGACACAAAATCAGAGTATTTTCAAAATTAAAAAATCCTCTCCTTTTGACAACATATTTTATGTAGCTTTTATTCAGAATTCTACACAAGAAGGGAAAACTTTAAATAACTGTTGGTAATAAACAAACACTTCTTACAAGTGATCCCAGGAACGGAGTGAGCAAATATTATCATTCATTTGCCAAATATGTTATTAGAGAGTGAAGAAAAGTTAACACCATACAGTGCTATGTTCAAATGTTTTATTATAAAGAACTACAAACTTGGAAATACTTAATTCCTTAGATGAATCTTCCATTGGTGTACCAACACTTATGAAATCCTGTCTCACTTGGGGAATGATTTGGGAAAGTCGCAGACATGAAATTTTGAAGCATGAAGCTGTAATTGCTGGGGTGAAAGATTTGAATAATATTCCTTTTATTTTAGTCTAATATCTGTGGTCACAAATAACTTGGCACATGAATTGCGCCTGTTCGAAACATTTATATCTTTCATATTGTTGCATTAAGAAGAGACCAACGCAGCAGCAGTTTAGTTGGCCCAAGAAGCAGAAATGAAGTTTGCTGCATTCAGGATGAAACATTAGCTCATGGTGTGTTAGTTTCAGTATAATTTTGATTGGCTAATTAATTACCCTTTAAAATCATTATCAGCTGAAGGCTTATGTAAGTTCTTTTTATCACAGTGTCATGTAAAAGACATATGACAGATGAGTCTTGAAATGATGTAGTCCAGAGAAATTTATTATAAGCAATTACTATTTTTAGAATTGAAAGGGGAAATAGAATTTTGATTAATCTATTTTACACATATTATGTGAAGATTTGGGAATGTTGCAGACAAGAGATGTTGAAGCATGAAGCAGTAATTGCAGAAGTGTTAGATTTAAATAATATTCCTTTTTTTTTTTCTTAACATTCGCAGCCACAAATTACTTGGCATGCAGAATCACGCTTGTTCTAAAACATTTGTACATTCAATATTATTGGGGTAAGAAGAGATCAGTGTAGCACCAGCCAAGAAGCAGATACAAAGCATGTTGCATGTGAAAAAATTATTAATGACTTTCACCGAATCGCCAAAAATACTTTTGGAGTAAGCTACGTTGTTAAGAAACTGATGTATAAGCAGTGTACTGTATCTTTCATTTCGTACAGCTGTCATGCTTGGGGACATGTTCTTGCAAAGAAGGTTTACAAAAGAAATTTGAGAAAGATTCAACGTAGAATTCTTCTTTGTATTATTAGTGGTTATAGAACCTTAAGCTATGAGGCTACTTTTGTTCTTGCAGGAGTTCCACCTATTGATTTCGAAATTGAATACAGTCAAAAGTCATTAATTCGGACACCCATAATCCGGACCTCAAAGCTAAAATCTTTCTGCGCATGCGCCGCATGCTCATAGGCGTTTTACGCGTGCGCACAAGACATTTACAACTGCGCAATACGTTTTCACGTGCGCGTTTAATGTATAACAGATGGTATAAGCTAAAATTATCTAATTATCGATTTCAGTTAATGTTGATGATTGCGTTGTTCCTTAATCTTCGAATTGGATCCGGCTTATTATTTTTTTCAGATGTAAGAGCAATTTTATAAAAGTAAGCTTGAACTTTCGATTATGTCAAATAGAATTTCCGATGCTGGAGCTCCCAAAGGATCTAAAAAACGAAAGTATGTTTCGATGTCCATCAAACAAAAAACGAATTGCTACAAAAAATGGATAAAGGTATATCCTTTGTTTATCTAACCGTTCCGAAATCTGTTTATCAATTTCACGCTGCTCTGCGCGGGGGGAGGGGGGACGCGATGCGCAATGAACTGGAAGTTGATCTGTCAGCACTATCCTTATCTTCAGGGCAGATGTTTTTATTTTATTCAACTTATAATTCCTTACTAAATGTAGTATCTAATCTTGATGTACTCCGTCTTTTACATGATTTAAATCAAATTCCTCGTCATTATAAATATCACGAATACAAATCAAATAGTTTTCTGGTTGCAATTTTCTAATTTCGGCTATGCGTAAGGTATGCTTTACGCATGCGCGCATTGAAAGAAATGTTTAATAAAGTAAACAAATAAATATTAAGCTTCTTTTTTTGTAAATTTTGATACCCTTTAGATCATAATTGCTCATTATTTTATAAATTACGGTTCAATATTTTTAATTTTATAATTTCTGCATGCCATCTTACCAGATTTAAACTGATCCGGAAAAATCGATAATCCGGAATCGCCGAATCCGGATTAAAGACTTTTGACTGTATAAGAATAATATTTTTGAGTAATTGGCAACTGATACTTTGGAAGTCTGCATAAATAGAATTGTCCCCTTCCTTGATCTTTCTCATTTAGCTACTTTAGAGTCCATAAATTTCTGGGATTATAAAGAGACTACTGAAATGGGTTTTTATATGGTTTTTCTTTACAGATGGCGGCAAGATGAACAACAAGGTCGACTTTGCATTTGTTCTTTTAGACATTGTATATGGAATGAATGCACAGTTTTTCAAGCAGAACTTCTGTGTATTTATCTTGCCATCAAATGGATCAAGGATAATGGGACAGCATCCTGAAGGTACATTATTTGTTCTAATTCTCTTTCTTCTCTTCACCTTTTGAAAAGTATTACCAGCTGCAACAAATTAGTTACCGAAACCCTATTAACTGTCAGTTCGCTTAGAAATAGAGGATTGATATCCGTTATGCTTATGTGTGTGCTCATCATGGTTTCTATGGAAATGAAACAGCTGATTTCTTAGCTAAAGGTGCCTTAAATTTACCCATTGATATCAACATTAGCATTCCAAAGAGCTATTGCAAGCCCTTTCATTATAAGAAGCTTTTAGCTAAGTGGAATGAGGAATATATTTCATCTTGTAATGCTGAGGTCACCAAAAAGTTCTTTCCTTTTGTTTACCACAGAGTGCATTCCAAGTCATTCCTCTCTATTAATTTTAAAGTATCTCAGTTTTTATCTGGTCACGGTAAATTTGCAAATTAACTGCTTCGTTTCAATCTAAGATCAAACAGTTTATGTGAATGTTCAAAAAAACTATCTCAAGATGTGAAACATTTGATTTTCTCATGCCCTATATTTGATGGCCCTAGATTATGCTTGCAGAACCATTTGAAAATGTTTGGAGTGACTTGGCCAGTGAACTTATCTGTTTTTGTGAAGTCCAGACTGCTGTTCTCTGCTTTTGTTCGTTTTATTTATGCATGCAACTTTTAATGTTTTAGTTAAATTACTTCTGTAAGCCCCATGTTGTACATCTGTGGTGCACAGGGGAGTTTTTATGCTTCCAAATTTTTTTTTAAAAAAAGCATGTTGCATTGACAACAAAAACTTTACTCTGAGTGAGTTTTACTTTTAATATTATTTTGATTGACTAATTAATTACTCTCTAAACATATTACTGGCTGAAGGCTTATGTAAGTTATTTTTATCAGTGCATTTTGTAAGTCATATGATATGGAGTAATCTAGAAATGATGCAGAAATTTATTATAAGCAATTATTATTTTTAGAATAGAAAGAGAAGTACCCAAATTAAATTAATCGAGAATTAAGGAGCTATTGCATATTTAAGTTAGAATTTTGATCACATACTTTTATCTTACACATATATATGTAATAATTGTACTTTTGGCAGAAGATAAAAAAAATTCACTTTTAGTTATAGCCGGAAATACTGCTGCTTAGATGGTTAGACATTACGGTGTAATGGATAATCAGATGAATTTTTAGAAGCACGACCAGCTTGATAGTTAAACATCATTTATTCTTGAGTGATCAATTTCTTAATACATAACTGTAAAAGATTAGGAAGAGCTAAATGCAGCACATAATTTTAAATACGCAATTACATTTTAAATATGATGAATAGCTAGCAGAGGTTGAGCAATAAGCTATCAGCACGCAGGCGAAAGAGAGAGAAACTACGCACTTATTAGCTATTTATACAAGATAAATGCACAAAGTACAGCTAATCTGTAATTGGTTAAATTTTGGGTTTCAGTTCCATTTACATCACCAGAATTGGACTTTTCTGGAAATGACACAGTGCAAAGAGAGGTTACTATTTTTAGAATTAAGAAGGAAAATTTATATTGCTAATTTAATCTTTTACATGTTCTTTATTTTTCTTACATATAAATAATGCAAGTTTTTATTTGAATAGCCCATGCAACCTGAAGGATTAAAAATGATGTGACTTTATAGATCACATCTAAAAGAAACATTCATAATTTTAAAAATTTCAAAAGATATTACAAGCATAGATTTATTTTTTTACACCTAACTTCAATAAACTCACAAATACATTAACACATATTTCCTGAAGATTCACCAAATACTTCATTTTTAAAGGGCTAACCAGGGGATTTTATTAATAACTTTAATTATTTTGATGAATTTAAATGTTTAAATTGCATTGAATCAATACAATATCAATTAATAATAAAACAGCCCTTTTCTCTTTTAATATTTAAATATATATTACTTTCTTTTTGTTTAAATTTACTTGAATAATAGTATGGTATTTTCTTGGCCTTAAGAAATTATACAAAAAACTGTAAAACCAACATATAAAACTAGTTAAAAGCACATTTAAATACACTGATATACAATTAACACAATTTAAAGAAATTAGCTTACCCAGTGAAAGTAATTCAAATTAAATAGAGAAAATTTTAATTTCTAAAAATATTAAAAATTCATCATTTAAAATAGCAAAATTCCTTCTACTTTGTTTCATTATCATTTCTCACACATCCCAAAACTATTCAAAATTGACCATTCATGAAGTGACAAAATAAAATTTCAACTGTGTTTTCTCCTCAAAACAGTCCAAACAGTTTTGGAATATTAGATTGCCTTTGATCCTTCATGTGCAAATGGGTACTAAGAGGAAATATCATTTATTAATATAGTAAAAGCTAGTGGTAGCTTTTCTGGGCAGCAGCTACCTTATATCTCACTAGCTGTTTAGCACTACCTCAGGGCACAATTGTTCAATACAAAATCATTCTACCGATTCTGCTCTTCAGTGCTCTATAGATAGGATGATACAAGCTCAACATGCAGGACAAATTATCAGCGACATCCTGATGAAAATGAACTCTACCAGTTTAAATTTACCACTGAAGGCACAAATGAAAGGTTTCGGATTTTAAAGGTTGCCCAAAAGGTTTTATGCACTCACTAAGCTCACAGTCAACCAGTCTACTGTTACACTTACTCCTACTCACCTTTTTTTTTTTTTTTGTTTTTTGTCTTTTTAGCTTTATTATTAAGCATCACTTTCTTTGCACTTATGTCATATTCAATGCAACAGCAAAATTATAAAGGTTTTAAAAGTAGCACAACAGTATACGTTTAGAATTCCCAATGCAGCGTTAAGTGTTAGCATACATTTTTCTGTTTCCCTCCCTCAATCTTTTCTCAGTTTATCTTATCAATGTTCAGTTTTACTAAGAGGACTTTACAAAACTTGTGTATTTACTTTATTTATTAAATATCAATTTCTTGGTCCTTACACCTCATAAATTGCTTTATTCCATACAGAGTTGTCACTGCTCGCTTTGAAATCATTTTGTTAATCAAAAATTCATTAAACTTTTAAAAAATATGAAATAGATAATAAAGCAATTCAAAATTCGGGTTACTAATATATTAATCCAAACCAATAATATTTGGTGGCAAGAATCTGAAATGTGATACAATGCATTCAAGTGTTTTGACGAATAATTCTGTTTTGAGATTAATATCACATTCGGGACTAACGTCCCTTTTGGTATCAAAAAATAGAAGTGCCTCTTTAGAGACAGCTATTTTAAGATTGCAGGAATGAAGAATAAAGACACTGTCAGAATGCCGGCAAACCATCTATCACTCTAAAACAAAAGACCAATATCCCCGAAATGGATCCTGTAAAGAAATTTAGTGAATAGTTTTAGTGTATGCAGATGCTGCAGTTCTACCATCATCCACCATGGAGGTTGGCTAACTAAGGGCTAAACTCCCATTGGTGCCACTCCTCTTTTCCTTTCCTACATGTTCATTTTTGGTTTCACAGCAGAAACTAAAATATATCTGTTTCTTTCACGCTTTCAAATCTCCAAAGAAAACTCAATATGCCTCAAACTGGCAATGCCTCAGAATTTCATCACTTTCATTGAATTTTGTTATTTTTCAATTAGAAATTAAAAATTTAGTTTGAGCCAAACACTTAGTTTTAGCTGCCCTTAACTAGCAGGAGCTGAACAATAAACTGATAAAAACTGTTAGGAAACAGAAATCTAACTCAAGGAAAAACTCAAAATTCTTACTAGCTTTCAAGACTAAAAATTTTCGTAAGAAAGAAAATCCCTATCAGAAAAAGTCTAGGACTAGAAAAGGTTAAAAAAAAAAAAAAACCTCTCAAATACGGTTACGACCTTCAAAACTTCCAGTCTTTATTGACCTCTGCAATAACAACTCCTCCTCCTAACCAAACCAGCAATTAAGACACACCTTAATTTCCCAGCCTAAATTCTTTATCTCTGAGAAATGTATACAAAATGTGATTAAAGAATTAAAAATTGTAATAACTCTATTCCTCGATTTAAATTCCATAATACTGCACTTTATACATAACAACAGAACCTCGAAATGCTTTAATACACAACAATAAAAACCTGGAATTGTCCATGTTTGATCATAAATGTTTAATGGCTTCTGTTGATTTAATGACTTTTTATGACGATATGAATTTGATTTTCCTATACTTTCAATTTTATAATAACTTAACAAGTGGATAAGATAACTATTAATTTTGCATAAATCCTATACTTTCTAAGTTTGATAGGGTAACAGTCTTTCAGAGTATAAAAACCTGGTAAAAAAATCATTTACTTATTAACTAATTCTGCAATCCAGATACATATTTTAAGGCACTAATAGAATATGTACTAGAAGAAGCTTGACAAATTTTTAACTTAAATGCCTTCCAAAGTATAATGCTTAGCAAAGGAATTAACTTACCTCTATTAAAGTTAGATTAACAAAACAAAGAAGAAGAGGGATCACAAAATGGTCAGGCATTGTTAAATTTGTAAACCACAGAATACCTTCCGTTTCTAGTTGTAACCTCACATATTTAATTTCTAAATAAATAAAAAATACATTAAATATTTTTTAGTTGCAAAATTAAATCAAAAAATATGAAATAGATAATAAAGCAATTCAAAATTCGGGCTACTAATATATTAATCCAAGCCTATAATATTTGGTGGCAACAATCTGAAATGCGATACAATGCATTCAAGTGTTTTGACGCAAAATTTTTTTTGACGCAAAAAAGATCTTTGCTGATACCAATTATCTACTCATGCAGGATTTTAAAATTATGACATTTATATTTTAATAGGAAAAAAATTACATTTTAAAAGATACTCAAGATTTTTTTTTAACTGTTGGCAGAAATACAGAATATTAATGATTAATTCTTAACTTTCTAAATATTATTAAAAATGCTTTCAATTCTTTTATGAAAAGATTTCTTCAATGCATATATACGAAAGATTTTAAAAAAGGGGTGATTTATTTATGAGTTACTAATGTTCACTAACAGTTAATCTGGAAAACATTCAAATGTGCATTCAACTTTCTTGGATTTAATTTTTGTATAAAGATAACAGGAATGTGAATGGAATACATAATTCAAAACTTCAAAATTAACAATATTTTATGCATATATAGAAAGAAAATTGTACATATATAGCTACAAATCTGACAAGCTATGTCACAATACAAGAACAAACAGCTGTTAGAAGTCTTTCAGGAAAATTACATACAAGAATTTAACACAGATCAAAGATGAATGAAAAACATTTATTTACTGCAAGGCTCAATAGAAAATATGTTCACCTTGAAATGTGATGCAGCAACCACAATTTCATGGCACATTCATTACTAAATGAAACAGGAATGATTGTTTTATTTCTCCCTTAGAAAGTGGATTAGTTCTAGCTTGTTTTCAAGCAAAATTTTACAAACTACAGTTGACCTCCCTAAATGTCCTAAACATGTTCAAAGGAATTGAGGGCTGGGGAGCATGTAAGTTGAATTCATCATATATCCTCATTCTCCAGTAGGTTCTCGACTACTTTAATTTGATTAAGCATGATATTATTAACCATAAAAAGAAATGCTTCACTAGTGGAAACAAAGAACATGGCATTTAATGGTATCGTTATAATACTGATCACCAAACATAGTGGTAGTGTCCAAAATGCATGGTGCAATAAAAGGGGGTACCGTTGCTACTACCAATTGAATGATTTAGTGAGGTCTTTGGACTAGCTCTCGAAGCGGCTTTCGGGTCACGTAGGCATGTCGGAAAGATGGCCAAACTTGATTATTTAGAGAAAGTAAAAGTTGTAACAAGTTTTCGGTTTCTAGGTGAATCTGTGGAAAGATTATTACCGATGATCAGATTCGTCTCGGAAATACATTGGTGAAACTCAGGGAGGGAAGTTCGCCTTCCTTCCCTGTGCTGCGTGCCACTGAGAGGTGTGGATGCACAGAAAAATTTTGAATGGAACTTTTGAAATTTTGAATGATTGGAATTATTTTCAAGCAATTACATTAACCCATCAATGACCACACTAGCTTACACTTGAAGGAAATGAACAAAAATAATTTTTTGATGTACTGGAGTCTAATTAAGACAAAAAAAATTATTTTTATCTAGGATACAAAATGTTGAGAAAATGCAACATCAGTCAAAATCGATTATTTTTGGGATGCATAGAAATCTTTGAAACATTTCTTATACAAAGCCAAATAATAGTTATTACAAATAGTTATCATTTGGCTACCAAAACATTTGCATCTTTTGTGTTTATTTGTTGAATTTTTTTCATAATGTGATTTGTGGGATTCTTTTTTGTTTCGCTTAAGACTAATTACTGAAAGAAAAATTGATCAGCCAATACAATCAGTATATGAAGATGAAGACTGAATTTTTCCCCCATACAAAACAATGAAGTTTTATCTACAACATCCAAAAGAAAATTTAAGGAAAAACATGTTTCAACTAATATTGCAATTGCTAAAACTTTAACTTACATATTTCAGAAATGCTCACCACTAGTATCGATACCCTTTCCCTTACTGCTGGAAATAGTTTGGGAACTCTAGATATTGAATACAGTACAAAGTTCATAATCCGGACTCGTCGGGACTTCGGCGATTCCGGATTAGGGTTTCCGGATTATAGATCATCAATTTAAATCTGGTAAGATGGCATGCAGAAATTATACAATTAAAAATATGAAACCATAAGTTATGAAATAAAGAGCAATTATGATCTAAAGAGTATCAAAATTAAAAAAAAAAAAAGCTTAATATTTATTTGTTTACTTTAGTAAACATTTCTTTCAATGTAAGTTATTTAAGTTGCTTTGTTTTTTGTGCTAATACTTTCTCTTTAATTCTATAAATAGACATAATTTCTTGTTCAGTTACAAAGTTCCACTGTTCAAGTCCTGTAATTGCTGTGTCGAGAATACCGACTAACTTGTCAATCAAAATTTTTTCGTTTTCAATAACTTTCTCTGTTACTTTCTTCACTATCGGAAGAGCGAATGGGTAAACGCTGTACTGGCTTTATGCGCATGCATAGTGGATGCACGCATCAAATGCACATGCGTAAATGCATTACGTGCATGTGTAAGTTTGTGCCAAATTATAGATCATTTCGAATAATGGACGTTCGGATTACGGACTTTGTACTGTATTATTCAAGGCAAGCAGTGCATTTTCTTGCACCTCATCCACATATCACTGAATTGCTACTTTTAGCCACTAAATTGCTTTTTGAGAATTTTCTTTATCTATATACTATAAGGTATTTTCTCCTTCCTTCCAGCATGCCTTCATGGTGTAACAGTAAGTAGCACACTCGGCAAATATTTGAGAGGGCCAGGTTCGAGTCCCGGCAAGGGTATTGCACATATTTTACACCTCCTGCTTTAAAATAACCTAATAGACTCTACAATGAGGCCCGAACTAAAAGGTGATGGACAACAAATTGTCACCATCAGTATTTGGTGACTGGGTCCCCTAATCCCCAGTTGTCGTTTTAAAAGGGAAAGTGCATAAGGTTCTCCCTCCTTCCAGTATGCCTTTCTGGTATAATGGTACCATACTTGGCACAATTTCGAGTGGTCTAGGTTTGAGTCCTGGCGAGGGCACTGCTCATTTTTCACATTTCCAGCATTTAAAAAAAAAAAAAAAATCCTAATGAGTCTAGATGGGTCCCCTAAATCTCAGTCGCCCTTTAAAAAGAAAAGTATATAAAATATCTTCTCCCTCCTTCCAGCATGCCTTCGTGGTGTAACAGTAGCACACATGGTGCATATTTGAGAGGTCCAGCTTTGAGTTCTGGTAAGGACATCTGCAGTTTCACATCCCTGCTTCAAATTAGTGCGACTCTACGATACATAGAAAAATGTTTCACAGTTTTTATTTGACATGCTACCATTTTTAATTTGGAAAACTATTTGTACACTTGTGATTTACTCAAAACACCATTTTTAAAGCTTTGCTAATGCATAACAATGGTCCCATTTGATGTTTTCATCAAAAAGCAAAATTTTATGTGCACTGTTAGTTGTTATCACACATTATAAAAATATCAAAACACTGATAACAGGAACATATACACATCAGCATAAAAGACAAACCATTCTATTCAAATTGATGCTACTTGGCAAACAGGCACAAATCCTAAACTATCAAGTCCTAGCAACGGGACCTATAATTATAAAATGTTCGTCTGCAGTGTTGTCATTCTGGTTGTTTTTGCTTACCTCTATGCAGTGACATACCCAGCAGAGTGTAAAAGATGATAAGCATCCCCTCCCCAATTTTTTTTCTTGCACAAAAAATGGATAAAAACTATAGGTGGCATTACTTTGCTTATTTTCTAATTGAAGGAGGTCTTTCAGGATTGCCTTACCTTCTACTTTTGTTCCAATTAGAAGAGATCACATATGCCTATTTTATTAATGCTATTATTTACTAAACAGTGGATGAACATGCACTGTAGTGGCCAAGCTAGTCACTGGTAGAAGATGGTTCAATAATTTACTACTCACATTTGTTAAAAGCATGTGTTTAAGGTGACTGAATCGCCTGCCATGTGTGAGATACAGTCTGTTATCCATTTTTTGGCTGTGGCAAACATGTCGGCTGCAGACATTCATCGCCAAATAACAGAAGTTTATGGCACTGAAGCAATGAGTGATAGTAACGTCCGAAAATGGGCCAGGGAGTTTAAAGATGGGCATACAAAAATCCATGACGAAGAATGCTCAGGCCGGCCTCTGTAATCCCTGATGATTTGGTGCATGCAATTGAAACAAAAATTCGTGAGAATGGGAGATTCACAATAACCACTCTTTCATTGGAATTTCCCCACGTTTCTTGGTCGATGGTGTACAAAATTGCGACCGAAAACCTAAATTTAAGAAATTTTCTTCTCGGCAAGTACCCAAGACTCCTTCACAGTGGAATAGATTTGCCAGTTCATTGGACTTCTTGATTCATAATGAGGAAAAAGGGGATGACATGGTGTGTCAAATTGTTACTGACGGTAAAACTTGGTTATCCCATATCACCCCTAAATCCAAGCAACAGTCAATGAAATGGCGACACAAATCCTCTTCCGTCAAGTTCCCAGCCAAAAAATGCTATCAAAGCACAATATTATGGCAACAGTATTCTGAGACCAGTGCAGTGTTTTGCTGGTGGACTTTATGCTACAAGGAACAGCGATCAACTCAGGTGCCTACTGTGCAACTCTATAGAAGCTCCAAAGAGCATTGCAAAACAATGGCGCTGTATGCTATCAAAGGGAATTTTGCTCCTCCACAGCAATGCAAGGCCTCGCACTTCTCGAACGACTTGGGACTCAAGTGAATCTTTTGGATGAGAAGTTTTGGACCATGCACTATACAGCCCCAACCTTGCTCAGAGCGATTTCCACCTTTTCTGGTACATCAAACACCATCTTGGTGGGAAGCGCTTCAGTGACAATGAAAAAGTGAAAGCAGCCGTGAACTCTTGGCTGTCCGAGCACACGGCAGATTTCCTTGAAAAAGGTTTTCAAAACTTAGTTTTAAGGTATGACAAGTGCATTAATAAACTAAGCAACTATGTAGAAAAATAGGCAAAAATATGTACAATACTAAAATAAAGGTTTTTTTTTTTCCCACAAAATATTGTTGTTATTTTACTTATTTATTTATTTTTTAAAGAGACCTTACTTAATAAACAGCCTACGTATATCAACGCATTTGCAACAAAATGACTCATCAATATTCTGCCGGAATAAATTTTCGTAATAATGTCCATCTTTAAGTTTTTGCCAAAGACATATATTAATTGATAATATGATAACCAATATGATAAATGAATGTTGAAAACTCATGATCAAAAGACTCAGAATAGAATATTAGAAGATGCTTTAGCAACTTTTTCAGAACAAATTAACGGCCTATATTACTGTAAAAATAAATTAATAAGTTTTTCAGAAAGGATTATGAGTTCCAGCAATCTTACATAAATAATGTATTTAAAAGTAAAATTTGAGTAATATTCCAAGTACCTGGATTTAATGCAGATGGCAAGTAGGTTAAATTTCTCAAAGCAAATGAGAAACAAATCCACACAGGAACTTGAAACAAAGCTAAGAGAACTGTCTTAAAAGGATGGCAGTTATCACGAATAATAAATTTATGGTAATAATTTTGCATCTGTAAAAAGAACTTTATTAGTTTATTACCTGAAAAAATTATTTAGAATATATAAAATTAATAAATATAAACTATCAAACAAATGAGTGCATTGAATCATGAAAGAGTATGATAATGTGTGTGATTTTTCATGCTATGCTAACCTAGTAACAAAAATCATGCAAACTGTGTGGAACCATTGAAAATGCTCTGAAGTCTGGATCACATTTCAAGCTTACATCAAGGAATTGCAGAGTTATTTCATGAAAAAACAGACAAGAGCCAAAAATTAGTATTGTAAAATGTTCAGCAGATTTAGAAGAACGGTACAACAGTAAGCAAATTTTGTCATACAGGAATAATGCTATGTTTGCACAAAAGTCAAAATTTAGTACTTGGATCAGAAAGATAATTTAATATATAGCAAAAAAGAAAAAGAAAATTAAGAACTGAATTCGAGATTAATGGTCTGAGTATATTTCAATGCCTTCGGAATAACAAATTAAGTGCTTAACAAAAATAATATGGATTAGCATAAATACATACGTATTCTTAATGAAAACCTTAAAGCATCTTCAAGAAAACTTGGAATGCAAAATGCATTCAAGTTCTATCAGGATAACGATTTTAAACATACAACCTTAAATATCTGCTTGTAATTATTATAAAAATGTATTAAAATTACCAAAACTACTAAATATTCTCCCATCTTAAACCCTATCAAGCATGCAAGGAGTGAATTTAAGTAAAGACCTGATATTCCTTTGAAGGTTCTACTAAAAACAATTCTTACGTAATAACAGAACAAATGAAACATTCTTATAGTACAAAAATATGACTTAAATCCATGAGAAAGTGCATAAAAAGTATCATGTTAACTAAAGGATATCTAACAAAATATTTAATGTCCTGTTATTTTCCTATTTTTAATCAATATGAATTGTTTGTTTAAAGTGTTTCACTTTTTTTTTAAATACCAAAAACATTTTAAAGAACTTCTTTCAAAACAAGCAGGTTTTAAACTAGATGATCAATAGTATATGTCCCCCCCCCAAAACGTCATGTTAGCTAAAGGATATCCAACAAAATATTTAATGTCTTTTATTTTCATATTTTTATTCAATATAAATTGCTTAATTAAAGTACCCCCCATTTTTAACCAAAAACATTTTAAAGAATTTCTTTCAAAACAAGCAGGTTTTAAACTAGATGACAAAAAATAGTCAATGTATAGTATATGTAGACAAAAAATAGTCATTTTGATAATATTTACTAATTGATATTTGTAAATAAAACTAAAAAACAAGTGCAAGACACTAAAAAACTTCGGTACTTTTCCATTGCGCCGGCACAAGCGATAAACTCGCCAAAAATAGTACAACCATTGCCAAACCAAATATCCTCACTGATAACCTTTCACGGCACATTTTCAAAACAAGTCGCTGCTATTTCTTATCAGATTGATCGTCTCTTTCAATATTGGCATACAGTTACATAGAATTTAATTATAATATTGAAATAATTCTCTTATTCCATACTAAGATTTAACTTGAAATTAATGTAGATAATTGCTGAGAGAATCAGATTTTTGTAGCGTAGTTTACGTGAGATAAGATCACTTGGGATCACGTGATATAAACCGGTGAATCAAGATGTTGTACCATGAAAGCATAGTAAATTCTTAAATTAACGTCTTTTTACAAATATGTCAAAAATGGATGAAAAACCAAAGAAAATTTGGGATTTGCCCAGGACAGAGGAAGAATCTGTCAGATTCTTTCAAGCGAAATTTGTTTTGCCTAACTTTGCTATTTGTGATAATAATCATGAAATGAAATTCTATTTCCAAGATCAAATTCAATGGCTGCAACCTTTCAACTTGCCGCAGTAAAAAGAAGTATATGGAGAGGCACGTGGTTTCAATCATCGAGATTGAGTTTCTTGAAGTGTGTAAGATTTATTTATGTTCGGAGTAAAGAATTAACTTCAGTTAAATGGTTTGAAAAGCAGTTGGAAGTCAGTCATGGAACAGTTGTGGATTGGAATAACTACATGCGAGAGGTTTGTGTGGATTCCTTACTTAAACGTCAACAACACAAAATAGGAGGACCTGGTATGATCGTTAAAGTGGATGAAAGTATGTTCACGCTGCGCAAAAACAACACAGGACGAATTTTACCACAACAGTGGATCTTTGGTGGAGTTTGTCGCGAAACAAACAAATTTTTCCTTGTGAAGATGCCAAACCGATCCATGATTATTATATTAGAGGCAATAAAGGAAAATATCGAAAAAGGAACTACGATATATTCTGATTCATGGAAATCATATTACACTGAAAACCTGGAAGAGGAAAGTTTTGAACATTTCAAAGTGAACCATAAATAGAATTTTGTAGATCCAGAAACTAGAACCCACAAACAAAAAATAGAAAGACTATGGTGTAGCGCTAAATGGAGGAATAAGAAACACAGAGGAATGGCACGTCATCATCTGGAAAGTTACTCGCTGAATTTATGTGGCGAAAGGACACAAAAAACCCATTTGAAAAAATTTTCGGTAAAGTGTAGAATCGCCCACTTATTTCTTTGGTGCTTTTACAAGAGTAAGAATTGGACTTTTGTCAATTTTCTTTGTGAAAAATAGGTCGATGTGTACATGGATAAAGGGACTGCACAATGCCATTTTTGTGCAATTCTGGGATGTTTTTATAAGTGAAAATAGGTCGACGTGTACATGGATACCGAGTACGTGCAATTCTAAAAACGCGCCAAGCAGTGGGTGATTCTGCACTTTTCCCAAAATTTTAAATGATATTAAAATATTTATGCCTCCAAAATTAAAAAATTCTTAGAACTAACATTTGTTAAAAGTTTTTATATGTATATTGTATGTTGTCACCAACAAAGTCTCCTTGGCGAGATATGCGCCGGCGACACGGAAATGGCGAGGTTTGCGCCGGCCAAACAGAAAAGTACCAAAATATATAACAAAATAAAATTTCAAATAACAAATAAATAAATAAATAAATAAATAAATAAATTTGAAATTTTGAATTTTCATTTTTATTTAGTATGAATGAACACAGTGGAAAAAATATTAATAAAATTTTTAAATCCATTTTTGGTTGATCTTTATATTATGGTAACTTGGCGTTTTTTTGGCGAAAATTTGGCGACCAACTCTCCTACAGCAACCCTCTATTTTTTTTTTTCCCGCAGCCATTTTGTCTTCACGAAGTAAAGACATGTTTCTTTCTTTTTTATCTACTGAATGAACACTTCTTCCAACAATCTACTAGCCTAATTACACTTATGCTAGAAATTTTATCTAACAAAACTGCTTAATCATGACAAATATTCACTGCAAAATTGCGAAAAAGTGCACAATACCATACTCCTTACGCGTTTTTCAAAATAACACATACACATAAACCATGTACACGCCGACTTATTTCTACTTAAAAAAACATCCCAGAATTGCACAAAAATGGCATTGCGCACACTCTTCACTATATCCATGTACACTGCTTTTTTCTCATAAATTAGAAAAATTTCACGAAAATACATGACAATTTTCTCAATCTTTAAACCCGGTAAAAAGAACATATATGAAATTACCTGATAGCGAAAAAGTATTTACCCTTTCCAAATATGAACATTTCCACATATAAAATAAATAAAATATCCAAAAACTTTTACCTCTAAATCATCTATTACATTATACACGTCACCAACGAATTCACACCACAAGCATTACAAATACTTAGTATCAAATATTTAAATTATTTCCATGCACGTTTACTTCAACTTAAACGTATACCAAATTCCTACAAACATAAAATTCACAAAATAACTATCATTTAATTAAAATATCACTAAACCATGTACACGTCGACTTATTTTTACTTAAAAAAATATCCCAGAATTGCACAAAAATGGCATTGCGCACACTCTTCACTATATCCATGTACACTGCTTTTTTCTCATAAATTAGACAAATTTCACGAAAATACATGACAATTTTCTCAATCTTTAAACCCGGTAAAAAAAAGAACATATATGAAATTACCTGATCGCGAAAAAGTATTTACCCTTTCCAAAAAATATGAACATTTCCACATATAAAATAAATAAAATATCCAAAAACTTTTACCTCTAAATCATCTATTATATTATAAACGTCACCAACGAATTCATACCGTAACCATTACAAATACTTAGTGTCAGATATTTAAATTATTTCCATGCACGTTTACTTCAACTAAAACGTATACCAAATTCCTACAAACATAAAATTCACAAAATAACTATCATTTAATTAAAATATAATTAAATTCAAAAACACTACTTAAAATATAAATGAGCACATACATTAAATTAATAAAAATTACCTTACAATCCTAATTACTTTAAACTAAATCATTGCTAATAACAATTTTCCCAATAATACCAAATTCCTTTACTTCCACCTTACATTTAGAACAATGCATAAAAATAATATCCTCAAATAATTAAAAATACTAACTTACCTAATCTTCTTCAGAATCTTGATTACATGTCCGATAAACTTTTCTTATTTCCTCCGCTAAATAAAAAGCAAGCGTATGTGCGCCTGTTTCAGGATCTTTAAAATCATACTTATAGTTCACAGCAAGGTACCAGGTAAAATAAATAACTTAATAAAGCATCTTTATTTCTATCTCATGCAACCTTAAGAAAACATTTATTACTACCCTTTTCAATACCACTAAATACCCATTTCGAATTCACTTTAGTTAGGGCTATGGGATCCAAAAATTCACGAACACTGTTTCACACAACACAGAATAAAGCCAAATACAAAATTTCCAGATTTTTTCCCGATTTCCCCCCTTTTCCGATTAAAGAACCGTAATCCGTCCATTAATATCACATGACATATCCCATGATCTCTCATTTCCCTCACACAAAATAATGCGTAATCGGAACTGAGTACTGCTCACATTATTACCAAAGTCCCAGGTAGTAACCTTTATCGCC